GTAGTAAGTAGCAGTAGTAGCAGCAGCAGCGGCAGTAGCAGCGGCAATCCTAGCCATTGGGAGGAAGTCAGGACATGAGCACAAGTAGTCGCAGCTTCAATTGTAGTCGTCTTTTGTAGTGCTAGCCGAACGGAGGCCATCAATTGTGCGGCAACGATCAACTACCTCGATCGCCGCTGGATAAGAGCCTTCTGTCTAGCAATGCCCCGAGGAAGAAGGTTTCCTGAGCCCTCAAAGGTGACATGATCAATGTAGAGGCCTTAGTAATTAAAATAGGGTTTGGGGGCCCATTGAACTATGATTATAATGAGGGACCCCCCCCCAAGTATTATAGGTAATCATTAAGGCCCCTAATACTACCTTGAAGCCCCCTTGGGAAAGGCTGCCCGGCGACAAAAATCTCCGCCTCTGGTGCAGCCAACTGAACCCTGAACATTGAAAACCTGTTAACGCATTTAAAAGGCACTCTCCTCGGCACTAGAGCGTGCAAAGTCCCTCAGCCCCCGAAGCCCTCAAACCCTAGAGAGCCCTTTCAAAGAAAAACACAAATCCGAAACCCTAAACCCAAAAACCTATAAATGAACCTAAAACCCTAAAGTCCAAAACCCCAAACCCTAAACTCTAAATCCAAAAACCGATAAATGAACCTAAAACCCTAAAATCCAAAGCCCTGGCCTCCAGACCTCGGGGGCTGTTGAAAGGTGCCTGGTGCTGGTCTGGGAGGAAATGAGGCAAAGCTCAAAGGGAACTACGGTTGATGGACGGAATCCTGCATGACCTTATATACCTAAACTATGAGATTTATGGTACTATAGTAGATTTGGGTCATGCAGAATTTTGTCCATCAGCAGTATGGCCTAGGACATTTCTCGGATGGGGAATGTAACAACATCTGGCTGTAGCTTCCCTAAACCCTAAACCCCGGTGGTATGAGGCAGAGCTCCAAGGGAAAAGTGGCCTAAGACATTTCTGGGGTGGGGAGTACAACGCAATTTCTGGTTGTAGCTTCATCCTGCTGCGTAGTTTTAGGGCATCTTTCCCTAACCCTCCAAGTACCTACTCTCTAGGGCCCTAGGGGCTCTAGTACCCTATATAGTAGGTACCTGGAGGGTTAGGGTTTGGTAGGTTGGAATCAATGGCCGTTGGACGACAATCGACCGGCGCTGAACATTTCGCTCATTGAGCTGCTGGCTCTGTAGAGGTTGGGACTCCTGCTAGTATCTTAGTATCTGCCTATAGTCTCCATTGTAGTTCCTTTTTTGGTTTAACCAATTTTCCTTAAGGATTTTATAAGGTATCCCCAAAAAGGAATTACAATGGAGACTATAGGTGACATGTACGGCCGAAAGTTCCGTCTTGTGTAGAGCTAGCGGCTCCAGGTGTTTATATGATGCAGCCGGTAGTCCTGAGGGTTTAGGGTTTCGGGTTTAGGGTTTAGGGTTTAGGGTTTAGGCGACCAACCATAGACTAACACCATGTGGGGTTTAGGGTTTAGCTTTTTTCTAGGGTTTAGGGTACCATGTGGGGGGATTTCCGACATCGCTTGAAATTTGGAACCCTGCCTAACCACCCCGCCAGACACCCTACACCAGGATTGATCTTAACCTCCAAAGACCAAACCCTCAAACCCCTGCTGCCAGCAAGACGCCGAAGTTTCATCTCCGTCCTTCGTGAGAATTCGGACTCTGGGGCAATGCTGGGGTTTCAGTTGGGCTCATGGCCATCTCGCAGGTAGCTATAATCTGATCAGCAGTGTGTTTTCGGTGACTCAGTGCGGACCTCAGTGGGATTTCATGGAGTTCAAGAGTGGCAAGCATGCATACATACTGCCACACCACAGTGGCGCAGTCTCATGCCATCACAACCGAAAGCTCCCAACCCCCCTGTCCATACAATACTATATTATACTTCTAACTTCTAACTATAGGCCCATGTCAGGACCCTAAACCCCTAAAGCCCCAAAACTCCTGAAAGCCTAAACCCACATTTCCTGCACCCAACCCTGACCAAGGGAGCGCTTTGCAACGGTAGTCGTTGACATCAATGATAAGGAGGGTTTAGGGGTTTAGGGTTTAGGGTTCAGGGACGGTTTAGGGGTTTAGGGTTTAGGGTTCAGGGACGGTTTAGGGGTTTAGGGTTTAGGGTTTAGGGACGGTTTAGGGTTTAGGTTTAGGGTTTAGGGTTCAGGGACGGTTTAGGGTTTAGGGTTTAGGGTTAACAGGTAACAATAACAGGTACAGAAGAAAGAATGAACATACCAGTAATACTGCTGTGATATCGTTCTTATTATGATAAAGCGCTTGACACTTGGGCAAGTCGTTGTGCCCGGCAAACTTAAACTTCAGCCCCCGACAACAAACCCTGAACCGAAACCGACCCTTCGTCAAACTCCTCCTTCGTCTCCGTGTCGGACAACGAGGTGCTGGCCATGCTGTCGAAGCCTTTGGTGGGCAAAAAACCCTAAGCCCTATAAACCCCATAAGCCCGAAACCGCAGATATTGACAGGCTGAGTTGGGAGCTTTGGCTGCAAGTAGGCGTTTGAGGAATTTGCGGTGAGGGGCCTAGGGCTTGAGTGGCTTATTAACGTCCTACGGGTCAAAAAGTACGGGTTCTGAACCTAGGACCTAGGAGCAGGACTTCGGAAGCGGTCCCTGGTCCTGAGCTACGGCGCTATAAAAGTGTGTGATGTATAGGGTTTCTGGCCTTGGATAAAACGGCATCCCGACAAAGGCCCCGAGTTCATGACGGTATGTACCGGGCTTGTCAAGGCATGTTTTTTAAGAGGCAGAAGCAGGAGAAACAGATCCTGCGTGGCTGTTTTCGCGCAACGCCGAAGCAGCATATGTCCAGCTTGATCTGCTATTTTTGCTGCAAGGCATTGGGACGCTGTCACCCTGATCCCTGTACAAATGCGGCACAACGATGCAGGTCCATGCAAATAGTGGCAATATTGCCTTGCAAACAGCGGCGGTTCTTGCAGAGGACGACGGGAACAAACACCAGGGCAAAGATGGATCATTCTGTCTTGCTTGAGTAAGGAGAAATCGAAGCTTCCTTGCTGGTCGATCGAGTTGTCTCGAAGTCCTCCTTCCGACTAAGTACTCCAAAGCTAGTTCATCTGTGCAAGCATCTCGAGACTTTGCGAATTCTGGACTGAGATGCTGCTGCGCTCAAACTGCATAAAGCACGGCATTCAATCCAGGTGCGGTCTTACTGGCTGATATACAGCAATCGCTCCGACATGATGCTGCCTTGCTGTCGTGATACATGCGAAGCATCTTGCCTGGAACTATCATTCCTGCAGCGGTCCCGGGCAAGCCTGTGACTCAGCGAACTTCACGACACTGAATATATCGTGCAGATGGGCCTGCAGATTTGCCCATGCGCCATCCTTGGGCCCGTGGTAGCAGCCCGTTGCGGCATCGTACAGTGTGAGCTGAGGCTGCAAAGGCCCGATCACTGCCTCGTGCCCTGCCACAAATCGTGCCTGGCTCTCCTCTGCGACGGCCTTGAGGAACTCATGACCATCCCTGTCCCGGGCCACATTGCAACATCTAAACCAAATCACGCCACGGCCCGCTTCGAAAACGTCTCTGAAGCAACGGAAGCTGCTTGCACTTAGGGCAGTATCACCAATGACCGGCCGCGCAATCCCTCCATGGGACCAGATCTGCACTTCACGGAGCCGTTGGACCCTCTCTTCAAGCAGCTCGGCAACTGGCGTTAAGTCTTGATGCCTCATCGTTCTGCCGCTAGAAGGGTCCCTGAACTCGAGAAGTTGCGGACTGACCTCCCGCACCAGCAATGTCTCGCCGAAACGCAGCTTCGCGCCTATCAACCAGCCAACTTGCGCAATGCCACCGGACTTCTTGCCCTTGGCATCACGTGTGTCGTCCGCGAGGACCAGGCAATCGATCACCTTCGAGCTCTGGCTCCCCATGGCCGTGGACAGGCACTCAGCCACGAAGCAGAAGCTTCAGGGTTTCCGGAGCCCACAGCTTCAGTGAGAAGGAAGTGCTGCACATTAGCTCTACGCAAACCATCCGATGCACTCGCGACACTCTCAAGTCCTCCAGGATCGCCCTCTCAACGCCCCGAGCCTGAGTATACAAACCCGATAAAGCAATCTTCTTGCGCCCCAGATGCGCTGGCGAACGGCTCTTGGGTGGGAATTTGTTACTTTCCCATCGGACGGAGCACCTGCCATGTGGGATCAGGACTCTTATCAGGACTGCCGAGGTGTAGGAGTTCTGCATGCAAATTCAATCTACCCTAAACCCTAAACCCTTAACCCTGAACCTTGAACCCTAAACCCTACACCCTAAACCCTGCACCCTAAATCTATTTGTAGGACTTGTCGGATATAGAACGAGGCCCGGACAGCTTCGAGACTGTCAGGCTTCTGGCAAGACGGACTGAAGCATTCGCATTTAAGATAGGAGGGTTGAAGGGCACAGTGGTTTGGGTTTAGGGTTTAGGGTTTAGGATTTATTGGGCTTCGTTGATCACCCTAAACAGTACCCTAAAACCTAAACCCCAAACCCTTGCGCTATCTTTTGGATGATCGGAGCTCTTCCTGGCTGTAGCTGCAGCTTTCAGAGCTCGAAAAGCCCGGAAAAGGCTCCTTAATCTGAGACCCCGAAGCCTTTTAACAACCGCCGGAGGTCAGGTCCCTTTAGTAAGGAGCCTTCATGAAAACATAAGAGGGCTTATTTACAGTAGGGTTTAGGGGTTTAGGGTTATAGGGTGTATGCACATTTGTAGACGCCTCGTCGTCATGTGCGGAATGGATATTGCAGAGAACCCCCCTGAAACAATTTAACGGTTTAGGGGTTTAGGGTTTAGGTCGACCTCCGAGAACCATTCGATAAACCTGTCCAGCCCTTTCAAACTGTCTACAGTACATGTCCTCGACCCTAAGCCCAAAGCCCTAAACCCTAAGCCTTAAACCCTAAATCCTTAATTAAGCCCGACCCATAGGCCCCATAGCAGTTCCATTTGGGGGTTCATATTTAGAATCCTATAAAGTAATCCCAAAAAGGAACTAGTATGGGGCCTATGGGGGGAAGCCCTGAACCGGCCCCGAGGTTTAAAAAAACATCCGAGGAGGCGCTCTCGTCGCTCTTGGAGCCATTTCCACTCCCACGCGATTCGGAGGAGTCGCCGGCATCGTCCTGTAATTCGTCGGTTTAGGGTTTACCCATAGGCCCCATAGTAGTTTCTTTTTGGGATTACCTTATAGGATGCTAAATATGAGCCCCACAAAGGAACTAGATACTATGGGGCCTATGGGTAGGGCTAGGGGGTTCAGGGTTGAGGGAGTCTCGAGGTGCCCCCTCTGTCTGATGTGTTCGAAGGTCGGGTCGCAGGAAGTTCGCGACTGAAGGGTTCGGGACTGGAGTTCAACCCTGCGTAGTGTTGAAGTATCAGCTTGGGACAGCTGCGGCTTTGTGCAAAACCGGCGGAACATCATAAGCTGTGGCTGAGACAGAAAACCCGCAATACATAATGCACCCAAGCACCTCCATCCTCAACTCCCAGCAAACTCTGGGACCCGAATAGACAAACGCCTTTCCACCCGTGTCGCATGACGTACCTGGACCCAGCCATCCGGCACGTAGTTGGAGATCACATCCAGAACCTGTGGCATTAGGCTTTTTTCTCTGGATGCCTACTTGAACCCACACCATACCCTGAAGCAGAACCCCCAACCATACACCGTAAAGCCGTAAAGCATCTGCAGTGAAAAAGCCACGGAGTTTTGGCCAAACCTGCACCCTAAACCCTAGATCCAACCCTAAACCCTAAACCCTAAACCCTAGATCCCCGAACCCGAAATCCGGAATCTAAGAAGAGCAGCGAAGAGCCTGCCCCCCAAAGCTGGGAAGACTACCCCCCCTCCGGATTGAAAATAACACCCCCCTCCCCTTCAGCCCTAAGGGCCCAAAGAACACAGTAATTAGGTACTGTTAGGTTTCGGGGTTTAGGGTTTAGAGGTTTAGGGTTCAGGGATTATTAGGTTTCGGATAGTAGTCATGTAGGCTACTATTTGGGAGAGTATACGAGTCTTTCGGCAGCCCATGTTATCAAGTCTGCGTGTTTGCACTGGACCCTTAGGGCAGGTGACAACTCGACCAGCTTTTAGGACTCGGAAGTACGATCCCCCAAAGGGTCCTAGAAACTGTTATGGGGGGGATCTTTTCCCAGATCATAATTACAGTTCCGAATATAGAGACCCTACATTCTATACTATATAGGTACTTTGGACACTGTGGGTCCCTAAACCCTAAACCCTATACTTCCCTAAACCCTAAACCCTCGGGCTCGTTATCTTTCGGTATGAAAGCTCAAGGCCAGAAAAGCTGAAACCCCGAAAGCTTTGAGGTCCTAATTCGTAGACCTAATGTAGGAGCCTAAATAATTACCTCTACTCTTCTGGGGGGAGTTCCTTATGATAATTATAGTATAGTGGGCCCCAAAACCCTATTCTAACTATTAAGGCCCCTAAACCCTAAACCTGTATAGTAGCCCTTACAGAACCCCTTTAAGGAACCCTTGAAAGGAACCCTATGAAACCCTATTCTAACTATTCAGGCCCCTATATTAAGCCCCGAGTCGAAACCCTTCAGATGCTACGAAGACACCTTTACCCTCAGGGTCAATGTACAAAGAGTATATACTTTGGGCCCAAAGTACCTAAAAAACGGCTTAGCTGAAGCTCCGATTGCTGTGCCGAGGCACGTTAGCGGCCAGAGATTGAGGCCATGCCTCACCTGGCGCCGGGGCAGATAATCCTTGTAGTCACTTTCTAGTACAATAGTGTAAGGGCCTTAATAATTAGAATAGGGTTTTGGGTAAAGAACCGGACCAAGAGAAGAGGGCACACACCATTTGGTTCAGAAATCAACTGACGCTCCGAAGCTTCTGCAGCCTCGCTTCGCTAACCTTCATGCCGCTGACACTCTGATGCTCCTGACGACTCGAGCTTCAGAGCTCTTGCTGATGCTTCTCAAGAATCGGGCTTCGCTGAAGCTCTGAGGCTCTTTAAGACTCGAGCTTCAGCGCTTCGCTGACGCCTCTAAAGACTCGAGGTGCGAAACTTCAAGACGAAGCTTCCGGAACCACCTCGTCCAATCGAAGAGCCATCTTGTCGACAACATCATGGTCATCATCATGGTCATCATCATCATCATCGCCACCAACATCATCATCATCACCATCATCATCATCGTCATCACCATCATCATCATCACCATCATCATCATCAGCATCATCATATTATTAGTCACTAGTATGTTTATTCTCTTTCTGCATTGTCATTAACATCATCGTCATCGTCAGCAGCAGCGTCGCCAACATCGCCATCATCACCATGATCATACCAACGTCGATATCACGTCCAACTGCGTCCCCACCAACATCATCAACGGCATCAGCATCTTTACCCGACAACATCACTACAATCAGCACCGTATTCTCAATTATCTCCGTCTCCATCGACATCATCACAACCGACTTCCTCCTCCACCATTTGCAACATGGTCACCAGATATCACCAGCATCATCATGACCGCCCTTGTCATGACCGTCGTCATCATCAAATCGCAACCATCCGGGGATGGAGGTTGTGTGCAATGTCCTGGAACAAATCTTGTCTAGCACTTTTCGGACGGAGGGCCCTTCTGCATGTGGCCCTCACCAATTTCGAACATCACATTCATCCGATGCAGGCGTAGTGAAAGCCAGGTCTCGAGGTGTCTACCATAGGGGCCGCAACAACTGCAGTTAGAGTAGGGCTCTGTAGTATATTCGACAAATATCCGGGCGCCTACGCTGCACTAAACTATACACTAGCCCCTTACGAGCACGAAACTATAGTTCTTGGCCGCTGGGGTTTCCCTGAGGCTTCAGCCGCCTACAGATAACCTGCGTGCTAGTTCTGATAATCTTCTAGATTAGATTGATGTAGGGGCCTGAATAATTAGAACAGGGCTTGGGGCCTTGGCGGTAAGTTATACTATAATTCTAGTAAGGAACCCCCAAAATAGTATAGGTAACTATTTAGGCCACTATATTAACTTAGAACCCTCAGACTACAGCGCAACCGGTGAGTCTCATTTGTCCCACCTCCACTCCAGGAGGCGTCCCCGGACACATAGCCGACTGCCTGCCGCTGGACTGTGCGGATTGGAGCTATCGAGCTTTAGGGGCTTACCCAAAGGGTCCAAGTACTAATATGGTAGCTACTTTGCAGGTATTTGGACCCTCAAAGTATATTCTATACTATACCTTGGACCCTTTGGGTTATAGGGTTCTCATATAAGACTTTGGGGATGTGGGGGTGAGAAGGTTAGTCTATGGAGCTCTGGAGCTGGTTGGAGGTTCTGGAGCTTCAGGGTTTAGGGTTTAGGGTTTAGGGTTTAGGGTTTAGGGTTTAGCTCGATAAAGTTCACGATTGAGGCCTCAGGGTTTCCACTTTGGATCTATGACGGGTTCTATGAGGTTCACCTCAGAAACTTGATGGCAGTTTTAGCATCGTGAAAAACCTCGAATACGCAACAATCGACACATCGAAACATCGCAGCACCAGCAACAATCAGCAAAACTCCAGCACACCCTAAACCCTAAACCCGAGAATTACCGAAACAAGATCCCACGCACAACACGGCTTGAGGAAGCCGTACCAAGAGCACCCATCCAACAAGCAGACCCTTACCCAAAGTCCAAATGTCTGCAATAGCCCCGACTCTCGTCCCTAGGAATTCCTGCCCTGCTGCAGGTTGGAACAAAGTAGGGTTTACCTATAGTCTTCATAGTAGTTCCTTTTGTTGGTTTAACCAATTTTATAATTTCGGGTCCTATAAGGTAGCCCCAAAAAGGAACTACAATGGAGACTAAAGGTACGTAGTATTTAGGGCTATCGCATGTCAGCAATGTACG